GAGTCGTCCAGTCGTTTGTCCGTCAGTTTCAATAGCGCCGACAGTCAGACAAACGGCAACTCAATGCCGGGTTATACTAATAATAAGCGAAAGTCATTCTCTGTCGGCCACCGAAAGGCCCACAGTTTGGGCACAAATGTGTTGTCTTCCATAGCAGCCATTCCATCGAATTATAAGACATTTTCTGTGAATAAAACTATGGTTTCCGAGAATAAGAAGAATTTGTGTCTAATAGACGACAGTCTCATAAACGACGAGCCGGTTATCCAGAAGCTAAGAGAACCGTTGGAGCGCTCAGTCATGCCTTCATTGCCGACAATCGAAATTATTTACGACGAGTCGGAAGCGGAGGTCCGCGAAGAGGACCAGAAGCCACTCGACTCTCATATCGAACGAAGACATTCGCTAATGAATGAGAAGATTATATTTCAGGGAAGGGTTAAGAGAAAGACGGTTATTAAAGACGGGAGAAAGCCTTCCGTAAGGCCATGAGTTTGTGATTGCATGCCATTTCTTAAGTGTCATTTTAATGGTGTTTTATTTTGCGTTGCCTTCAGATGACCAGTTGGGTCCGGTATTGGCTCGTATTACAGGGAACACAGCTCCTATACTTTGATCACAAACAGTTCAAGAGTTATCAGACAAATATTGTAAGTCATTATTGTTTAAGACTTTGATTATCACTCGTTTAATGTATGATTACTTGATTTGCAGTTCCATTCAACTCCATTGAAGTGTCGATCACTAAAGGGTTGGATCGTCGCACTGGTTGAAGACATTCAAACGGACCACACGTTCACATTATCTGACAATTTAGGCCGAAATGTATATAAATTCAAGGCATCGACGGCCACACAGGCCTACGAATGGTATAAGAAGATTAGTCAACAATTATCTCAATTCAAGTGCAACCCATCGACGGGCGACCCTCTCATAGACTTCGAGGACGATTCCAATCATAAAAGCCGATTACAGATTCCTAAGAATTAATTTTACTTTTTATAAGCAATTATTTATCATTTTTACCAACTTTTTTAATATTGAAATTAATGCCAAAAATTTTTATTATATTACCGGTAATAACATTTAATAATTGTATAATAAAAACAAAGTAACTCAACGATAATTAATAGGTTGTCATTTAGTATAATATATAATTTATTTCATAACGTAATCTCAATTTTGTATCATAAAAATTGATACTAAAGTCTTAGTATAACATAATTAATACACTTATGTATGTTTATAATTGAAGAGCTTTATTTTAGATAAAACTTAAAACTTTGATATGTCTTATGTAATAAAAATTTAATTTGTTTTAAGCCTAGAGATAGTATTTAGCGGTAATAGTGTGAGTCTATGAATCTGTGACTCATGTCGTTGAGTGACAAGTGGTCCAACTTTTCACTCAAGAGGATACTCAATGTCGGCTAATTTGTAACTAATCTAAAGTCCATTTCCTAGAATTCAATGCATACTTGTCTCCTCCGTTGAGTCCATTCAATGGACATATGAAAGCATTTTTGAATGATTATAGTCCTAAATTCATGCATTAAATTCTGTAATACAATGTAATTTTGTAATACAGAATCTGTATTGAAATAATGCATTGTTTTAGTTCAATTGTTATTAATTAATAATTATTCAATACTTTCAATTTGCATAAATTAAACAAAGCTAACAATTAAATAATTTAAACACAAATTAATTAACGGTTAAAACAAAATTAGGTAAACAATCCTAAGGGAGAATATAACCAATTTTAGGATATATTAGAATTCAAGAGATTCTTGAACTGTATGACCAGAAATACAACCATAATGTCATCCAATAATGTCACTAGGATCAGGTCCAATCCTCTGACAAGACAAAACTCTATAGTAACCGAAATGTTTAAGAGTCCAATCATTGCGGTCCACAATCACAGGAACGAGACCTTGTGTTTCCATAAAAAGGTCAAAATCTATTGTGCACTTCATAGACCTCTGGGTACCGCTAAGTTATACCACGTGTTTGTAATTATAATACTTTTCTTGAGTATCATTATCTTCAATGTCTTCGACGAGGCAATGGAAGCGGGGTATGACTGGAGGGATGATAAGTCCAAGTTATTTAAGATAATAACCGATTTCTCACTCGCAGGTCAGCTAATACTGAAGTAATTATAAACTTTAAAACAAATTATTTCATTTCCAGTTATCCTCTCAATTGAGCTGATGGTGAGGTTGTGGTCATGTGATTGTGTACTAAAGTATAAAGGTTTGAGAGGACGGTTAGTTTATTTGAGGAATAACTGCTTTTTAAGAGGTGTCGAAGTGTTTGGTATAATAGTATTCATCTCATATGTAATGAACGCGTTGTCCACTAAAATACATTCATTGGAGCTATTCTTACGTCTCATACAATTGACACAAATTATACAATTATATCGCATATTGTTTCGAGTTATGAAACTCATGATCGAAACCATTCTCTATCAAAAGAAACAGATCTATATTGTCATGATATTCGCCATAACAGTCCTCACATTCACCTCATTCTGGATCTATTTGATCGAAAAGGATAACAACGACAACGTGAACAGCATTTCCGACAGTCTTTGGATGACTTTCGTTACGTTCGCAACCATTGGGTCTGTAATTCCGGAAATATTGCAAATACATGTGAAAACTCATTGAAATAATGTTCACTTTTGTATTGAATTGTATGGATAGCTATGGAGATATAGTACCGATTACAGTGGTGGGCAAAATCATAATCTTCACGATGGGAACACTGGGAGTCATATTTTTCGCACTTCCGGCCAATATATTTGGCACCGGATTAGCCCTTAAGATAGAAGAGAGACAGAAGAGGACAACCCTTTTGATGAGACCATCAGTCCGACTCTTGCAGTCGATATTCCGGTGCTATGCGTGTAATAAAACGCCCAGAATTGAGGCCTTTTGGTCGCTCCATAAGAAGACAAACGGACAGCCGTTGACCCCTCGGGACAGGGCTTGCATTCGCTTCCTCACTGTCGTCACATATTTAAAGACCAGAAGTCGTTTCAAAGCAATGATTGGATTGCAGAGCGATATCTCGAAAGAGAGAAATGCGAAGGACTTCGAGAAAAGGATAGCGTGTCTCGAGCGGGACGTCAATGTAATCATCTTTAATGTATACAAACAGTCGGAGAATAAGATGAGAATTCATGAATTCATTGATGCCATCAAAGGAAAGGTCGATTCAATCAAAAGTGCCAAACAATCCAAATGACAATCTAATTGATACCACAAACACTATTCACTTATATTTTCAAACATTATTTTCACATTAAAAACTACTGTAACTTAATACCGGTATTGACGGACTTAACTCTAATGAATTAAATGTTTCAAATAATTTAAGAAATGAAGTGAAAATCGAAATAAACCTTTATTTAAAACGTTAAAATCTAATTTAAGATTTGCTTTGACTTCAGAAAACGTATTAAGAAATTGAATTTATATACAAAAAATTCTCTAAAAACTGATTTATGAATCAAAATGAGTTATATTAACAGCCGCCCAACATGTATCAAATTTGTAGACTTAACATGTTGTGTTAATAGAAGTAATATTATATTTACTGTATGAATGTTATAAATAATTCAAATGCGAGTACAAATGCATAAACACTGGACAATAATTATGAAATTAAATACACATAAATTTATTATACAAAGTGTATACAACTGTGAATACAACTTAATTTACAAGAAAATCTAAATATGAACTCAAAATGAGATGCGAAATGAATTGCAGAATAAGACACAATCGGATCACACAATTGGCACGTCTGACGGCGTGTCTTCAGCACCGGTCGACTCACTAATGGCAGTGTTTTCTTCGGCCGACGGAACCGGTTGTGAGTTGAGAGGTGTAGTGGCGCTGAAGTCAGGCAGTGATGAGTCCTCATAAGGCTCGGCGTCTTCGTCGCTCTTATCCTCGTCTTCGTTCTCGCCGTCGAGTTCTCCCTCTTTCACGTCCAACGACTCGAAATCTCCATCACCGGTGAGGTCGTTGTCCCACTCGGCCGACCCCTCCACCAGAAGTGTCGGTCCGTTCTTCTTGATGTCATCGGACGCGTACTTATCGATCAACTCCTGTAGCTTTCGGTCAAAATGTGACTTATTTTTGGCGCATTCGATCTCAATCTGCGGGTCTTCGGCCACAAACGTCTCGGGCTTCAGGTCTTCGTAGGTCTCCATCGACTCAAACCCTTCTTCGGCCTCTCGTTTGCGTCGTTCCCTTAACTCCGACAACAAATCCTTATATATATTCGCAATCATTGAGTCGCTATTCATGACAACTATTTGTTTGCTTTGCATCTCATCTAAGATGGCTTTCCGGACGTCTGTGAATGTGAACGTCTCGTCGACATACCGGCGCTTAGTCTTGCCTTTCCTCAGTTTCTTGAGGTGAGCGTTGAATAGCTTCTCAACGAATTGGTTAACCTCTGGATATGTCGTCGAATCGTAAGTGAACTTTCGAAACATACTTCGGCCCGAATTGGTCGACCTCTTCAGCAACTCCTCCCTCTTAGCCCACACCTCCTCAGCCTTTCGGTACAGTTTAGGCAAATCAGTCCAACCCGTGCGGCCGTCCAAGTCGTCGTAACCAAGCTCTTCGGTCTCAGCCAAACAGATCTGCTTTCGCAACCGCTTTAAGCTATCGGTCAGGTCTTGGACCGCCTTCTTCTTCGACTTCACTTTAGGTATATCTTTGGGCGGCTTTCGTGTGAATCGCTTCAACTCCTGAACCAATTCGTCGTAATGCGAGACAATGCGCTGGACAGCAGTCATGTCCGACACTTCTTTGGTGAACGTATTCATGAGTTTGCGGTATTGGTTGCCATCCAAGAAGGACCTGTTCGTAGGAATGGCCTCTATTTTTGGGAACAACTCATTCAAGACATCCATGTATTCGTCGATCTCTTTCTGGTCGGCATTGGCGGCAGTCATACTATCTCTGAATGTCTGCATATAGTGATCAAAAATAGTCTTTGGATCCAGTGTCGAGACACCGTTGACCACACACTCGATGGGCGCCGACACTCGCATCACTTTGGGAGACGATGGACCCGATTTGGGCGCACCGTTGGAAGTGGAGGGCAGTGGCAGTGTTGTGGGCGTCAGTCGTTTGGTGGGACTCTTGGACACGCTTTCCGACACTTTGTCCTCAAATTTGATGCCATTCTCCGCTTCACTATTGCCTTCATCTTTGGTCTCAACACATGACTGGCCATTGAGTTCACTGCAGACAATGGCCTCATTGGACGAACTCGAGGACAACTCTTCGATGATCTCGCAGTCGTCGCTCTGACCATCGATGGCAACACAAACACAGCCATTAAAATGTGTCGAAAAAACACTCAATCCATGCATACATACCATGTCTTCGAGTACCACATCGTCGTCGTCATCGAGAGTAATCGTTTCAATGGACTGTTGCGACAGCTTTTCAGGCGACTCTTCGAGACCATCGCTGCCGTCGATCATATCAACCACCTCTTCGTCGCTCATATCGATGGAAGTGATGTCTGAAGACATTCAATGAAGAGCACAATCAGAGGAAACAGTGTTTTGAGCGACGATTCAAATGACAGTCACAGCGACACTGCATTCAACACAACGTTTGACTCGCTTTTGAATTTGAGTTCAATTTGTTTCCCAAAACACAAGCATTTCGTCCGCTTTTTTCGTCACTTTTTATTTGCTGTCAATTTGTGCGACAATTACGACCACTATTTCACTATAAATATCGTCCCCTTCCAAGCATTTGTCGGTATAATATAGCACTAAGTTATTGACATTTCTTATGGATTTGTATTTTATATATTTTTTGTATGATTTTCGGTAATTGAATGATAAACAGATACCATATCGAGTGAAACGTAACCTAAAAGCGCATGAAAAGGTGCCAATTGAACGCATTTATATGACCGCATTTCATGTTCATCAAATATCGTACTCACCTCCCAGTGGTGAACTCGTATTGGTTATCGATACACTCATACCCCTCACATGTACCTCTTTAATGTAAACCTTGATTATAACGAACTTTATGCAAATAATAATCATAGAACAATCAAATTCAACCAAGCACACGAGTACTAAATTATGAACTTAGTCACTTTCACCATGATAGTTGAATGACAAAAGTGAATGGCAAGTGAACTCTATAACCAGCGTAACTGAAGTTATGATCAGACAATGAGTTTTGATAGAGAGTGTGAGTTAAGCCTTGTTTACGATAAGGCGAGTGAGATATGAAATGTTCATTTGATTTGTTTATCCAAAAGTTTTGAACACATTTTGCGCCCAAACTCTCACTGATAACAAGCCTTTGTGTCGTAACCGATGCTCTCATAGTGTTTATAATGAGTTCATTATAATAGCAGTCAATGTGATGATAGCGCCCGTAGTGTGCGGTCACTGACAGCGTGTGTAATGTGTGGACAGTATTGCCATTGAGATAGCATTGGATACAGAAATCGGTGGCAAACATGCAATTCAATAGCAATTCAATTGAATGCAAATTACATGAACTAAACATCAATTTCGGCCAAAAGTTGGCCACAATTTGCGCCAATGATATGCCTCCGGATGTGGTCAAGAGTTTCGATGACATGCGGACACAACTCGACGATTACAAGAAGTTGATGAGCGATATGAGCGATGAGAGCCACAAAGTGTCGCCAAATGAGCCCAAGAAGTCATACGCGGATGTCATACACAATAGGGATCAGAAGGCGACGCCTCCCACGACGACAACACCGCCGCCAGACGTGTCCCATAAGCCGAGCCCTCTGTGCGATCAGAGATCGGCTGAAAACTTGGGACCAAATGCGTCGAAGAAGTGTATAAACAGTGGCAACGAAGTGAAGAAGAAGAGGATTCCTCTGCAGACAACGCCTCTGAAGACAATTAATGGCAATAAACGTGATAACAATGACAGTATAATTAGTGTGAAGAGTGACTTCAATCGCCAGAAACAGTTGCGTCGAGACATTGAGCAGCAGTTCTTCGGCTCTCACTTGCCGTCGCTGAAGGAAACCGTGGACTTCGTGTCCGACAGAATCACTTGGAAGTGTATCCGAAGAATCAAAAACGATGTGTACGTCAAGTGCAAGCAGTCCTACAACGAGTCCATTGCCATCAATGACAACCACTTCAACGCCAGCGAAGAACTGGATCTCAATTGCATAACGAATGCCATCCAAAGTAAATGCAATGACTTTGTGGACGAGTACTGTATGGCAACGAATCCGCAAATTGAGGCCATTCTTCCGCTTCTGGTCATTGAGGACATCGATAAGAGTGTCTGTGATTTTGCGGCCAAAATGGCCACCAAATTGGCGATCGATAAGTGCATGGATTGGGTCGACGCTAACATCACTCAAGCGTTGATCGAAAAGGATCTCAAGATTCAGATGAAGAAGAAAATGTTGAATCGACACAAATGTCCGGAACCCACGACCGGACAACACATGCCCACCATTATAGACATCACTCCCACGTTCAGTGCGGTCAGGGATCTCATGGGAGACCTCTATAAGCGTGAGTCCATGCAATTGGAGGGCTCGAGGGTTGTCCACCTGATGGACGAGTTGTCGCATTTGAGGCGTCAGTCAAACATTTTGCCCAAAAGGACGCTAGACTTCATTGATGTAAATATAGTGGACTTCGCGATGGCTTTGATCGCCAATACACCCGATTGTCTCAATGAGACAGTTGTTCAACGATTTGTTGACTATTGGCTCGAATTTAAGGTAACGGTTGAGAAGTATATTTGTCCGCGAAATCTGTTTATACTGTCCGAGCGATCGAGATGTGCGCTCAAGAGTTGGAACAAATACGAGACATTCTTATTGAAGTTGTTGTCCAATGGTATCACAAACTATAAGATCATTGAAAGCGACTGTTTGTGGACTTTGAAGCAAGAATGGAGTGATGAGACACTGAACCGATTGGCCAGTTGTTTGAAGTCAGTGACCGAACACCACAAACCTATGGGACGGGTAGATGATAGTGAGTTCACGGAGAGCCACACGATTGAATGGCTTTCATGGTTTTGCAGTCAATGCGACCAATAATTTGTACAATTATTTGTTTGATACATGTTTTACACTAATTTATTATTTATTTTTTAACTAACTTTTATGAACTAAAAACCAATTTTATTTATTTGACACTTTTATGTTCAAAATAAAGCTTTCATTATTTAAAACGAGTCAATCATTTGTATGTTTTATTAAGAATTCATTAATAATTATGTGCCTTAACACGAATTTTGTTAAAAATGACAGATTTTAGTGTACAATATATTATATTATAGAATTTATTCTATATACTAAACCTATTAATTCATAAACCGATTTAATCATAAAAAATATTTGTTATTAAACTCCAAAAATATTCAAAATATGTGTTAAAATACTAGAAAAAGGTTTTCTGTAATCATTTCTGTCTGTCTGTGCGCTAATCAACGGAAGGCATAATTCCCTTATGAATTAGCGTCTGTTGGGCTGTGATCCTTGAGCCCCCTTTTGGGTCGAGTAGTCTATAGATGAGGTGTTTGATCTCTTTGGACAGCACTTTGTCGACCTTCTCGTGGAACCGATACTCTCTATTCTTCTGCTTCAATACATAGGCGCCTTCATTGTTGAGGGCGTGGGAGGCGTCGTAAGGCTTGTCGTAGTTAAGCATTTCGAAGAGACAGACGCCCATGGAGTACATGTCGGCCGCCCGGGCCTCGTAGGGCCAGGCGTTCACTGTGCGAAATACCTCGGGAGCCATATATGCCGGATGTCCGCAGAAAGTCTTCCTTA